GGCATTCCGCGTGACGTGATTGGGAGCGAGACGAGAGTGACACAGTGAAAATTAATGGTGGAATCGATCCCCCATTTCACGCGTGGGGTGACAAACGCGACGGCTCTTTGGGGAGGGGAAAGGGGGGGGGGGTCGCCTTGCGTCACATCGCGTTTGGGAACGACGACCGTCTGTAATTTTGCGGTCTGTGGTGAAACAGGGGGCGGGGAGGACGAGGTAAGGGCCGAGAGAAGCAAGGCACAGTGGGCCAGAAGACCGGTGGAGGCGGCTGAAACTGCAAACGCGTTTTGAGCTCCAGAGTCGCTAAACACGACTCGAACCGACCGTGTAACCCCACCAATGGATTCCTCGTGCGGAGAGCAATCCATTGGAGGGGTCTCACGTCCGGTTCGAGGCCTGTTTAGCGACTCTGGGGCTCAAAACGCGTCTAGGGTTTGGGCCGCCTACCGTTCTTCTGGCCCACTGTGCGAGGGGCTGCGAGGAGGACCGCGAGGAGAGATTTTTCGGCGGGGAGGGGGAAGGTAGGTGACTCTGCGACGCTGCGCGACGCTCTGCCAGCAGTTGGCTTAAGGGTCCAATCAGGGAAAAAGGGCTTATTTCCGCCACAGTTTCCAACAAGATTTTGACTCGCTTGGCCCCCTTTCCTGCCCAAATGAGCACGAAAAGGGGATTTGTTTTTCAGCACGCATAAGTTTGCTTATACGGTGAAATATCCGAAGTTTTAGTGGCGCATATAGGGTCTCAAAGTAAGCCTGGGACAAATTTGAGCCGGGCGGAGGCAGCTGGGGGATTTTCACTCTTTGAGAGTGTATCACATGCAGTCCGACCCATCCCTCCCCCCCCATCTCTCTCTCTCTCTCTCTCTCTCTCTCTCCGGAGCTTTTTGGGTTGCCTAGCCGAGGGGAAGGCTCCCCCGCTGTTGTGGAGCTTACTGCAGATGGCGCGGCATGAGAGAGAGAGAGAGAGAGAGAGAGAGAGAGAGAGAGAGAGAGAGAGAGAGAGAGAGAGAGGAGAGAGAGAGGGAGAGAGAGGCGAGAATGGGCGCCCCTTTGCCCCCTCGGCCGCTACACCGCAACACGCCCCGTCGAGTCCCGGACGGCCCCGCCAATCCGCGGACCATGTTCGGCCGAGATTCATACGTCTTGGCCTCTCTCTCTCTCTCTCTCTCTCTCTCTCTCTCTCTCTCTCTCTCTCTCTCTCTCTCTCGGCGGAAGCCCCAAGCACCCACACATAAACTAGAGAGACTCACGCACACGCGCGCACGTATGAGCGCTACAGCCTTCAGAGTGGTTCCCGTAATGGTATAGCATCCCTGACAACATGAAACATGGCTTCATAGGGAGGGCCCGGCCCCCGCCGACAAAAAAACAAAGCCACACGGTTAAACGCTCCGAAGAGAAATTGAGCCAGGCCTCCGGTGAGCCACGACCCTCACACTGGACGGGGAGTCCCTCGGCAACGCTCCGCGTGCACCAGCTTTCAACAACAAAAGTTCCTTATTTTTTAAAACTACATTTTAAAAAAAAATAAAAAAAGAGGAAAACTTGAAAAATTGTCGCAAATTGGTCCGAGCTGCCAGTTGGATAAGTAGCCTGCCCCTTAGAGGCCCCCAAACTTTGACAACTTCTGGCGACAGCGGCGAGGGGTGCGGCGCGGACTTCTCGCCTGGAATTTCTTTTCCGGGTTTCCTGGTCCGACCTGCCGCGCCGAAACGAACGTCTCTGATGCGCCCCACCACTCTGTTAAAACTGTGTCGCTGGATTGGAAAGACCGGGAAAGACCATTTGATGGCGGCATTCTCAGCCCCAACATTTTAGTGTGACAAACAGACCAACTGCTGCGGTCGTCTAAACTTTGTATGCAGGTATAACAAGGTTCAACAAGGGGTCCCACCCCAGAAAAAAATCTCTCGTCACCTCATGGATGACAGTTTGATTTTTCAATAACCACTTTGGTTTCCAAACTACTTCACAGTCGAGAAATCTGCCACAGTCGTGGGTAAGGGTTCCATTTATTTTCTAAACGCGCGTGCGAAATTTTTCATTGATTGCTATTTTTTGTCCTCTGGAAGAATGGCCCGCCTTCGATGCCCGCCTGTCACGTGACTGTCACGCCTGTCACGTGACTGTCACGCCTGTCACGTGACTGTCACGCTGTCGCACTCACCTGGCTCGCGGCGGCGCGGTCACGGCCGTGACCCGACTTGAGAGATTCACCCGCGGAGCGGCACGGACTGACATGCGACGGTTGACTGTGACGCGGCGTGACGTGCGCGCGTGACGAGCCCGTGACGCTCCGGGACGGTGGACACGCCAGGCAGACCGCACCGAGTGGAGTGAAGCGATGCTCCCCGAGCTTCCCCGAGCGGCGCGGCGCAGCGCGCAGCAAGCCCAGCAGAAATGTTTTGGCGGTGAGACGCCGCGGGGCGGACGAGGCGGACCGGCTTCGACGCCGCGCATGCGCCCCGATTCCCCCCCCAGTGGGCATTCTGCCTGGATGTGTGGATGCGCCTCGCTAGCAGTGTCACGACGTCAAGTCGATTAAGTCCCGTCGATAGCTCGATTAAGTCCCATCAATTACTCGATCAAGTCCCGACTAAGTCCCCGCCGGCCGGCAGACTGGTCGCTCTGTCTCTCTCGCACCCGCGCGGGACGCCCCATGAGTGCCAGAGAGACAGAGCGACGACTTTCTCAGCAGAACCAGGCTCCTTCGCACAGAAGTGGAGCAAAACCTCGAATCCCAAACCTGAACGAGCCCGGTTCAAATCACTTTGCCATCCAGCGAGAGAGAGTTCAGCTTTCCGAGCACAGCGAAGGCGAGCGCCCCGCGGTGCGGCTGGCGGCCGACAGGCGCGCATGGGGTCGGTTTGTGCGAGGGGTAGCCTACCCACCCGGCGCGCAGCACTGTTATTGGTGTTTTTTGGGGGCGGGGGCGCCGGGGGCGGGGGCCGGGCATGCATTCGGGACACGCGGACAGCGGTCAGACGACAGCCAACGATTGCCAATCAATGAACTGCCATGCCCAGACCGGCTGTGGTCCCCTGGGTAGAGATGTGCCTTCAAACGGGTTCACTTCTTCGCTCAAAGCTCACGAGTCAAACCAAAACAATTTAGCGGAGCCTAACCTTTAGTGAAGGCGGAGGTGGCCTGGGTGACAACAACTCTCAGTGGTTTTTAAACACGGTTATAAGGCATCCATTGAAACAAAGAAGAAACATGTCGAATTAAAAGCAACAGTGGATACCTTGGACAGCTGACTTCAAGCAGGAGACGAAGAAACACATCGTACACTTTCACAAATAAACTTTGCAATTTTTGAAGTCGGTACGTTGTTACGACGGCCGGCAACAAAGTCAACCTGACGGGCCTGAGAAGTCCAAAGGCAATGGTCTGGTAAGCTTGGACTGCTGTCTATATCGTCCACTCAAATAAAAAAAAAACTGCACTGGTTTTGCTTGCTGTACTTGGTTGGTGAACGTAAAGTTATTGGTTTGCTTTTCCAGTGTTGGTATCCTGCCACCTGTAACCGCCAACAACAACAACAACCCGCACAACAACAAATGGCGGCATTCTCTCTTGTTTACAGTGTGTTTCGCTGCGAGTACGCCTTACATTCAAAAGTATTTGTTTGCCTTGGCTCGCTAGACACCAACTTGTAGTTGTCCGTCCGCGTCATCTGATTTTAACTTTCTGGTGATGGTTTGGGACCTGTGATGAATGGACCCCACGCCGACGACAAGGTTAGTTCTGACCAAAAGGTTTGCCTCTTGCCTCTTTGTTCTTATGTCAGTGGCCTCTCTGTCTGTCTCTCTTTCTCTGGAGTGCTACTTAGACTGTCTATTTTTTGTGAGCTTAATTGCTTGATACGTGTCACTTCACTCTTTTTGACAAACTTTTTTCTAATGCTGTACATGAACCATTACGGAGTTTGATCAACAAAGGTGTTCCGTCTTTCTTATTTAAACACTAAATTTTGTGATTTGAAAAGTAACTTTTAACTCTCATTACACTTCAATGTTGACTCGCAACAATGTCTTGTTCTTTTGGTCTTAGTTTTTAAAGTTAGACGATCAGCAACAATGCCCAACCAATCCCATTATAATTTTTCGAACCTTGTACAAATAATTAAAGTGTCGCTTTCTTTATTTTTGTTTGGCAATGTTCACTCTTACTATTCACTCATCAAGGCTGCAATCTTATGTTTAATAGCTTAGCGGTGAGATCCCTTTCTTTCTGACCTGGAACTGTCAGTGTTACTGCTGATGCAACTGCGCTGTTTGATACGGGGAAAGGTATGTTTGTCTTTCAACGGCTTTTGAGTGTACCATGCAACTGCCTTCCATTGATAATATTCTAATCAACTTCTAAATTCATTTTTTTTTCTTCTTCTTCTTTTTTCAATAATTGTTTGTAAAGTGGTGTCCATGTTTGTTCCTGATTGCATTGGCTCTGGGTACTCTGTAAACCAGCGCCAGGGAGCTGTCTTAAGGTTCTTCCCTGGTGTGAATACCCCACGCGTGGCGCGCCCTCCGGCCCGAGCGCGGGGTAGTGCCGCGGTCCGGTGCCGGTTGGGTTGCCTGCCTGCCGGCGGGGGGCGCCACTGTAAAGACCCTGCGGGCTGGTTGGTCCACCCAGCGGCGGAGATACTCCCTGCGTCTGGCTCAGCGGGCGAGCTCCGAGCAGCGCTCTGTCTTGAGTGGGAGAGAGACAGAGCGACGAAAGCTCTTTTCCAGAACCAGGCCGCTGGTTCTCAATGAACACAACGAGCTGGGCGATTTAGCTTTTGCCTGAAATGTGGTGGTTTCTTTTTCCAGTGCTGCCGCCGTGAGGATGCTGACGACTCATCCCGTCTCTCTCCCACTCATGGGGCGCCGCGCAAGTCCCGCGCAGGTGCGAGAGAGACAGAGCGTGGTCCACCCTTCAGACTGGATGGCGACCACCGGTGAATGTCCGGGGTGGCAGGGTTCGCACTTGGAGCTCCGAATGACAAGCACCGAAACGTAAAACAGACAACAATCTTACTTTTACTGTCCAACACGAGGCCAGGGAAAAACATAATATCACAGTGATGTTTTACAGTAGCGCGGCGGGAAGCATCTCCGCCGCGTCACCAGTCGCCCTCCAGGAGCTGGCGGTCGTGCTTGCGGCCGCCCTGGCACGGGTAGTACTTGATGGTGACCTGGGAGACGTCGGCCGAGCGCATGGTGAGCGGGAAGCCATTGGGGAAGACCCTGACGGGCAGGTTGTGGCAGGCGGCGGCGAACTCTCCGTCCTTGCGCAGCACAATGAGGGCCCCGGAGAAGTCCGGGTAGCGCGCGCCGATCCGCGCGATGGACTCGTCGGCCGCCTCCTGCGGCGTCTTGCCCTGCCGCATCAGCTCCACGGCCAGGAAGCTGCGGCAGCGAAGCGGAGTCAGCGACGCACAGTGGGCCAGAAGACCGGTGGAGGCGGCCAAAACCCCGGACGCGTTTTGAGCCCCAGAGTCGCTGAGCCGGACAACGCCCGGACTCGAACCGAACGTGTGACCCCACCGATGGACTGCTCTCCGAACGAGGATTCCATTGGTAGGGTCACACGTTCGGTACGAGCCCTGCTTAGCGACTCTGGAGCTCAAAACGCGTTTGGGTGTTTTGGCTAGTGTACTTACGACGGCACGAAGCGCATCATGACGTCGCCGTCCCCCGTGGCCGCGGCCGCGCCCACCTCCTGGTCGGCGAACGCCCCGGACCCGGGGATGGGAGAGTCGCCCACTCGCCTGCGAAGCAAAGTCACCGGCATAAGTACCAAAAAGTTGAACCGAAAACTCTCTCTGAGACACTGTTAGTGTCTCTGTTAGTCGCTCACCCGGCGATCTTGTGGCGCGCGCCGTTGGTGGAGGTGCCGGCGGCCAGCCTGCCCTCGGCGTCCATGGCCACCATGCCGATGGTGTCGTGGTTCCAGGGGTCCACCAGGGCGCGCGGCTCGGCGTGCCGCAGCGCGCGTCGCTTCCGGGCAGGGGCGGCCGACTGCGGAAGCAATCGTTTGGTTATTTTCTTTTTACGCTGGGCATGATTTCCGCGCTAAGCTGCTGCGATCCTTAATTATTACCTCGGCCCCCTCGGGCTCTGGCCTCCCGGTCGTTGGCGCGTCGGTCGTGAACTGGGGCGCGGTTTCGGTGGGCCTGGCGTCGGGGGCGGGCTCCGTTGTCACGGCCTCGGCCACCGACTCGGTAGCCTTGGCCTCGGGCGCGGCCGCCGTCGGCGTCGCTTCGGTCGTTGGCGGTTCGTTGGCCTCGGCCACGGCCTCGGTGGGCTTGGCTTCGGACGCCACCTCCGTTGTCCGGGCCTCGGGCGCAGCCTCGGTTGCAGGAGCAGGGGCGGGTTCAGTAGGCACGGCGTCCGTGGCAGCCTCAGGGGTGGGTTCAGTCGGCCTGGCCTCGGACCCGGCGTCAGTGGCAGCCTCAGGGGTGGGTTCAGTCGGCCTGGCCTCGGACCCGGCGTCAGTGGCAGCCTCCGGGGTGGGTTCAGTCGGCTTGGCCTCGGACACGGCCTCGGTCGTCTTGGCTTCGGACGGCAGCTCGGTGGGCTTGGCGTCGGCCGGCTCGGCCTCGGGGATGGCGTTGGCGGACTTGGCGGACTCGTCCTGCTTGGCCTCGGCCGACACGGCCTCGGTGGTGGTGGCGGCCTCGGTGGGCTTGGGCGCCGGGGTGGTCTTGGGCTCGGCCACCACCAGCTTGACGTCGGACACGATTGGCCGGTAGGGACCGCACTGCTTCCTCGGGTTGGGGGCCACGCCGGCCTGCAAAAGGAGCGCCGTTTTGAGGCCGAGCAGGCAACCCTTTCGACACTGGTGCATCGTGGGAATGTTTGCGACACTGCTTTGAGGAAGGCGATTGACTAGGTGTAAATTCGTTCAGTCAATGTAGGCCAAGGACAACACCTGTCCGGCGACGCGGCCAGGACGACGCTCTCTCTCTCTCCCTCCCCGCTCACCTTCCAGAAGTTGGGCTGGCAGTTGTTGAGCAGCCAGTCCTGCCACATGGACTGCGAGTGGTTGGTGGCGAGCGTCTGCTCGGGGAAGCCCATCTGCAGCGCGAACTTGGTGGCCTGCGAGCCGGCCAGCAGCGTGTGCGAGGTGCGCTCCATGACGCGACGCGCCACCGAGATGGCGGAGCGGACGCGCCGCAGCGCCGCCACCGCGCCCACGTCCATGGTCACGCTGGGGAACGACAACAAGTGGGTGCTTTTGAATCATGGTTCAAAATGGCGAAGCAGGCCTCGAACCGAACGTGTGACCCCACCAATGGATTCCTCGTTCGGAGAGCAATCCATTGGTGGGGTCACACGTTCGGTTCGAGTCCCATTTAGCGACTCTGGAGGCGAAAATGTCTGAAGCGTTACCCGTCCATGATCATGGCGTCCAGGGTGGTCTCGCCGGCCTCGTCGGGGCTGCCGCCGAAGCCCACGGTGCCACGGCACTGCAAGGCCTCGCACAGCGCGCAGCCTTCCTCCACGGCGTCCAGCGCGGACCGGCCCTCGGTGTCCAGCACCTTCCACGCTGGAAAACGAAAAAAATGGCTGTAGACGCGCCGGGACCCTGCACTAAAAAAAATATTTTTGTCTCGTGACAATTTTTTGTCACTGTCCAAACAGGCGATCAAGAAGGTTACCGCTTTTTCCAAGTGAAATGGAAGACAAGCGCCGAAATTGAAGACTTTCCGGCCTCTTAGCTAGCGCCACGCTGCTCCCCTCCGTTGGCCAACCGCCCCCGCCCCGCCACCCCCAAGACGGCGCTGCCGCGAAAATCCGCGTGCCGGCCGCGCAGTGCCCCGCAGTGGTCCCTCGCCGGCTGCTCCCGGAAGACCGTCGCTCTGTCTCTCTCGCACCCTCACGGCTCGCCCCTGGAGTGCGAGAGAGACAGAGAGAGACAGAGCGAGGCGGCAGATGCTGCGCGCGAAATTCGCAAACCGCGTTGCCGCCACCATCGGCAAACGCGGCGGGGTCGTCGTCCTGGGCTCGGCCAGTCGCTCTGTCTCTCTCGCACTCAAGGGCCCGCCCGCAGGGCGTGCAGGGCCCGCAGGGGTGCGAGAGAGACAGAGCGACCCTGCCGGGGGGCGTCCATACGTAACGTAAACAAAAGGAGGGTGGCCCGCGGCGCGGCGACGCGTTGCACAGTGGGCCAGAAGACCGGTGGAGGCGGCCAAAACTCTAGACGCGTTTTGAGCTCCAGAGTCGCTAACTGGGACTCGAACCGAACGTGCGACCCCACCAGTGGATTTCTCGTTCGGAGCGCAGTCCATTAGTGGGGTCACACGTTCGATTCGAGTCCCATTCAGCGACTCTGGAGCTCAAAACGCGTCTAGAGTTTCGGCCGCCTCCACCGGTCTTCTGGTCCACTGTGCGTTGTGATTCATTATCACTTTGCGGTCTCCCCGCGCAGAGCCACGTATCTCCGCGCCTTCCCCGGGTTAGCGAAAAGGCATACGGCGTTCTGTCCGCCGCAGCCCGTTTGAGACAAGGGCGGATCCAGGGACGCGTCCAGGGGGGGGGCGTAGCCCGCATAGCCAATAGTGGCGGACTTTTGCTATCTCTCCCGCTTGGGTTCGAGCGGGAAGGGGGGCTCTTTATGGATTCCAAACAAATTCGAATATTTTTTTTCGTTTTTTGTCACTCCTATTTCATTATTCTTAGTTCACACTACTCATCTTGCTACTTTACTCATATTTCACTTCCAATTTATTCCTCTTTTATTTTCCGAAAGAAAAAAATTGCACACCTTAAGTTGTTATTCCGCCTTGAGCTAAATTATACGGTTCCGGACTTCCGGAGGAGTTTAGACTAGACTTTTTTTTTCGAAGTTGGGACTACAGCTGGTGTAGGCGCCGCTCTGGCCTGGGCGGAGGAAGTGGAGTGAGCGGTCCAGTCGTACGCGAGGCGACGCAAGGCCAGTAGCTGGCAGTGCGACATTGCTGCCGAGTTGTTGATTTTCGCAAACGTAAAAAAAAATAATTAAAAAGAAATTGCACAGTGAAAGAATGTGTGTGAACTCGGCCCCGAAGGGAACAAGAAAGAAGCAAAATCAAAGTGTATATCTAAAAAAAAAAAAAAAAAAAACCGAAAAGTTTGCTATCAGCTGTCAATCAACAGAAATAATGGTATCGGAAAATCTTCGCACCCCTGTCATGCAGCATAAGCCTGGCTCGCTTCGCCCACGCAGAGAGAGAGAGAGAGAGAGAGAGAGAGAGAGCACATTTTTGACGAGGGACGGGAAAAAATAAAGCCAAAACGCTGAAGCAGAAGTGCGTAAGTAAAACGTAAGATGTGGACGCCCCCTGATGCCGGCGCGGCCGGCGGCCCTTACAAACCCTCACAATTTGCTTGCAGTCGGCTTCATTTGCATGCCGTATAATGAGACGGAACAACCCCCTCCTCCCTTTTCTCACCGAAGCTTTGCAACAACCGAGTGACGCAGTGAATAATTATTTCCTTCCCCCACCCCCTTTTTCCTAGTTTTGGCGACAGTGATATTTCCCGCCTACTTTGCGGCGGAGTCTGTCCACTCGCAGACTCTAGACGCGTTTTGAGCTCCAGAGTCGCTAAATGGGACTCGAACCGGACGTGTGACCCCACCAATGGATTGCTCTCCGAGCGAGGAGTCCATTGGTGGGGTCACACGTTCGGTCCGAGTCCCATTTAGCGACTCTGGAGCTCAAAACTCGTCTTGAGTTTTGGCCGCCTCTACCGGACTTCTGGCAATTCCACTGCGGCGCGGGGCGTTCCCTACCCTTGGCGACGGCGTCCTGGTAGTCCCACGTGGTGATGACGACGGGGGAGACGGGCACGGCCTGCACGATGGTCCCGGACGCGGAGGGCTCGGGGGCGGGGGGCGGCGGGGCGGCCAGGGCGGCCACGCACGCCGCCAGCACCACAAGCAGCTCGCCGTTCATGTCAGCTCGCCGATGACACACCACACACTGGCCGGCCGCTGCACCGACCGCCCGCGCCAGAATCTCGGCGGGGTGGGGCGGGGTGGGGCGGGGCGCACCGACAAAGTGGGGAGCACCATCGGGGTCCACCGAGGGACACCGAGCACAGCCACGGCCGCTCCAAGACCGGAGAGGGGAGGGAAAAAATACCAAAATAAGTAAAAGAACAAGTTGTCGGGTTTTAAAAAAAGAGACGGAAAGCCCAAAGAAAATGGCCCCGCATTTAGTAATTACCGCGGTGTTGTAACTCGTTCGGAAAGTGCGCTCGGAACGCCGGGCAAGCTTTCCTTTTCTTTGAGAAGGTCGCCGGGATGGCCAGGATGCCCCAGAGCGGCGGTGCACACACACACACACAACACCACTACACCACACACAACAACACACTACATATACCTCACACCACTCACACACCTACACACACACACAACACACACACACGCCGTTCCGATGAGGTAAGGCGATGCGTCGATATTCCAATTCGAGGTATCGCTCTTCATAGGCCTTGCCCGGCGCACAGTGGGCCAGAAGACCGGTGGAGGTGGCCAAAACTCTAGGCGCGTTTTGAGCTCCAGAGTCGCTCACGGGGACTCGAACCGAACGTGTGACCCCACCAATGGATTCCTCGTTCGGAGAGCAATCCATTGGTGGGGTCACACGTTCCGTTCGAGTCCCGTCTAGCGACTCTGGAGCTCAAAACGCGCCTAGAGTTTTGGCCGCCTCCACCGGTCTTCTGGCCCACTGTGCGGCGCGTGCTTCGCCGCCTGGCCGGCCGGCCGGCCAACGCAACGAACGCAACGCGCGCGGGTTGACGGGTTGACACAACCCGCCCGGCCGGACGGGCCGCCCGGTGGCGGTGGACCTTGGGGACCTCCGCGACCTCCAACCGGTTCGGTTCGGGCCGTTCCGCCGTTCGGGCGGACCCACTGCCCAGCCCGCCGGCCGCCGGGTGACGGCCTCTGACGGGCACCCCGGGGTAGCCGAGGGCCATCAATAAATTTGAGGGAAACGTATCGCGGGTCGGAGCTGTCACGCCGTCACACAGTGGGCCAGAAGGCCGGTGGAGGCGGCCGAAACTCCGAACGCGTTTTGAGCTCCAGAGGTCGCTGAACAGGCCTCGAACCGAACGTGTGACCCCACCAATGGATTGCTCTCCGAACGAGGAGTCCATTGGTGGGGTCACACGTTCGGTTCGAGTCCCATTTAGCGACTCTGGGACTCAAAACGCGTCTAGAGGGTGGACAGACGGACGGTGCCAAACCGCATCACCAGCAGTAGGTCAGTGTCGACTTGGCGCTGTTGACAGTGGCGTGGCGATAAGCTGCCGCCCGCCGTGCCCGCCCGGTCGGTCGCGGTGGAGCTGGTGGCTGGGTCATCTCATTCATACTCGGAGTGGACCCGGTTGGAGCGCCGGCCGCACCGGGCCAGCGGGCAGCACTCGCGGACGCCAAAAAGAAGTAGACGCTGTGCCATAGGAACGGTTAACTGAGACTACGGTAAAAATTATTGCGGCCAACCGTGCGGTACTTTGCCATCGCCAAGAGCGAAAAATCGATAATTGACAGAAATTTCCTGCGATGAAGACTACCGCGCAATTTTGATTCAAATAGAACGTTGAATTCACGAAAAACAAAATGAGAGTCGTCTTGAACTTAAGGGTGCGCGAGGTGCAGGTTGGGTGGCCTGCCTGCCAGGCGCCCCCTCCGCCGCCGCTGCCGCCGGCGCGCAGCCTGACCTGCCGCTGGACTGGGACGCACGTTGGGTTGCCCGCCTGCTGGGCGCTCTGCTCTTAAGGCAGTGTCGCGGTGGAGGCGGCCGAAACTCTAGACGCGTTTTGAGCTCCAGAGTCGCTAAATGGGACTCGAACCGGGCGTGTGACCCCACCAATGGACTCCTCGTTCGGAGAGCAATCCATTGGTGGGGTCACACGTTCGGTTCGAGTCCCGCGTAGCGACTCTGGAGCCCAAAACGCGTCGAGAGTTTCGGCCGCCTCCACCGGTCTTCTGCCCCGCTGTGCGGCGCGCGCGGCCCAGGCCAGGTCCTCTAGGCCAGACAGGTGCTGTGCGGCCGTACCTGCCGGACGCGCCTCCTGCAGGAGGGACCCTGGAACCCGCTGGAGCCCCCGACGGCCGGCCGGCTGGCCGCGCGGCGCTCACGCCAGCTCACGCCCGTCGCCGTGCTGCGCGGTGCTGCTGCAGAGGGCAGGGACCTGGCGGGGACCTGGCGGTCCTGCTGGTCGGGGTCCTGGCCGTCTTGCCTTTCCTTCGTGCTGCTCGGGCGCCGCTCGCGCCGCTCGGCTCGTGGTGGAGGGGGAGGGGGGCGCCGCGACGCCGCCGGAGCGTCGGCGGGGGGAGGGGGGAGGGAGGCGGACTCCGGCGGCGTGCCTCTCTGAGCCAGTGCGCTCCCGACCCGCGAACGCTGCGCGCCGCGCCCGGCAGAGTCATCGGCCGCCGACGGCCGCCCCAAGCCGGTCTCGCTCCTGGCCTCCGCGGAGGACGTGAGGACGCACGACGGCATCCTGGTCCTGGCATCCGCGTGTGTGTGTGTGTGTGAGTGCGCGCGCTGCCAGTGATCAACAAGTAGTGTGCCCGCCGCGCGGAGCGTAGCGCGCGTCAAGACACGGCTCCGGGTAATAGTCCTGCAGTCGCCACGCTCCGCCACGCCCGGGTTCACCGCCCCGCTCCGGCTCGGCTCCGGCTCGGCTCTGACACGGCTCCGGTTCGACTCCGGCCCTAGGACTGGCCTTTTTTGCCGCGCTGTGCCGCCCCCGCACTGTGATCCCGTCGTCGCCGGCCCTGCAGTTCCAACGGGACTGTGTTGGTGTGTGTGTGTGAGTGTGTGTCTCCAGGAGCGGCCGGCTGTTGCCCCCTCTCCGGCGCGGTTCGTACGGGACCTGCACCACGGCCAGGCCGTAGGGCCGAAGAGGAGTCCGGTCTGCCGCGCTGCTGCACTGCTAGTGCTGCGGAACTGGAGTCACACTGTGTGGAGGTGAGTGTATGCATGCACCGTAGAGGCGGCATGGCACAGTGGATTTGCCAGACGGCCGGTGGAGGCGGCCGAAACTCCAGACGCGTTTTGAGCGCCAGAGTCGCTAAGCAGGACTCGAACCGAACGTGTGACCCCACCAATGGATTCTTCGTTCGGAGAGCAATCCATTGGTGGGGTCACACGTTCGGTTCGAGTCCCATTTAGCGACTCTGGAGCTCAAAAGGCGTCCGGGATTTTGACCGCCTCCACCGGTCTTCAGGCCCACTGAATGAATGAATGAATGAATGAATGAATGAATGAATGAATGAATGAATGAATGAATGAATGAATGAATGAATGAATGAATGAATGAATGCGACATCTGCATGCTCTGCAACTCCGCGCCCTCGAGACACTCTTGGTGCCAGAGGCGAGCCAGACGCCACTAAAAACCCTTTCTGCGCATTCTGCGCGCAACAGGGGGCGAGCGGCCTCTTGTTGTTGTTGTCGCCGTTTTTGTTGTCCGCCATTCTCCCAGAGCACAAGGCCTGTCTTGGTCGTCGCCCTGCGCGTCAAGTGCGCTTGTGGCGAGAGAGAGAGAGAGAGAGAGAGAGAGAGAGAGAGAGAGAGAGAGAGAGGAAGGGGGCAGAGATTGAATCGCCAAAAGTGTGCATCTGGAAATAATGTTACGTCTGGGCGGGCTCTCTGTTGGGTCATGCCGGGTGTGTGTGGGCATGCGCTCCGACACGTCACCAACACACACACACACACACACACACATTCACAGGACATACACACACTGCGATACACTCCTTACTCAGTACCCCACCCGTGTGTGTGTGGGTGCGTGTGTGTGGGTGCGGATCAGGTGTACTCCAGCATGCCCTGCTTCGCCATGTTGGGCACGCAGAGACGCCGTCGAGGCCGACGACAGAGGCCCACGGGATGCATATTTTTTAAAAGTGTCTCCTTCCCTGACTCTCCTTGACGCGTCCTCCCGCGCCGCGTGCGTAGTGCGTCTAGGTGTGTTGTGCGCGCCGGTTGAGAGGGCGAGGCGGGAGTTGCAATAAACTTTATTCGACCATTCGTCATCGTCGTGGGTTCGAATCCCCACGCCGCGTTGGGGATTTTTGCCTCGAGCCGGGGGCTCTGGAGTGCGGCCCTTGTGGTTTACGGGCACTCGAGCCCCTTGTTATTTTATTTCGGTGCGTCCCTCTCTGACCCGGCAACCCCTTTTCGGCATCTGTGTCGATGCTCGAGACGCCTTTTTGCTAAGGGCTTCGTGTGGAAAAGCCGCCTACACTGCGGGAAAAGTCCGGAACTTCACACCACCAAGGAAGGTTAGCGTGATGCACTGCTGAAAACCAGCCAGGTTCACTTTCTGGTCACATTTTTTCGAACTTCAGAACCTGTCTTGTGAAGGGTCCTCTCTAAAACGATGAAAATCTAGGCTTTTTGGCATGAATACAATGTGGCGTCTCAGGCAGTGCCACAGAGTGCAGAGCCTGGCGGAATCGAAACTCTTCTGTCGCGCCGCTCATAACCGTCCCATTGTTTTTTACCGTCAAAGAATGAAGGAAATTTGAAAAGGGTGCCGTGCCGTGGCGTTGTCATTCTGCCCCGAGTCGCTCCTCAAGATTGGAGCTATTCATCGCGAGTGGTGGGCTAATTTGTCACGCGGGGAAACCATTCCGCCACTGTACAGCCTCTCTCTCTCTCTCTCTCTCTCTCTCTCTCTCTCTCTCTCTCTCTCTCTCTCTCTCTCTCTCTCTCTCTCTCTCTCTCTCCCTCTCCCTCTCTCTCTCTCTCTCCAGTCGGTCGCATAATGGCCTAATTTGGGCCGTACCTGGTTTGCGGCCTCTATAATTGCAATCCCATCAATAAGTGAGCCACCCCTGCAAATCCCCCCGACCGACGAGTTTTTCTTCCAAATGCGCTCAAAGCGAAATGAAGCGGGGATTATTATAGGCTCGACCGGAAGAGCGCCGTCAGTGTTTTGTTTTGTTTTTGTTTTTTTTGTTTTGTTTTTGTTCTGTTTTTCTTTTGTTTTTCTTTTGTTTTTGTTTTTCTTTTGTTTTTGTTTTGTTTTGTTTTTCTTTTGTTTTAGTGTGCTGTGGTTGGTACCTAAGTGTTGTTGTTGTTGTTGCGCCGTTTGACTGCTAGAGCGCAATCTGTTTTGTTTCCTCAGTTGGTTCTTTATTTTTGCTCATTTTTTTAAAACTCGGTGGCTTCGGTTATCATCCCCATTACCATGATTTTCTCTTTCTTTTCTAAATTAACATTTAAAGTAAAATAGTAGCCGACTCTAAAGTTAGCGCGAACCAAAGACATTTTTATAGTCGAGTTAGCCGGAATTTTTGCCATATGAAAGGAAGCCAGGATTTTTTCGAAGTAGATTTGAGCTGAAGTTTGTCGATTTCTGCCCGTGCCTGAATCCCCGCCGGCAGAGAGAGTCTGAGCGCCTCTTGTCGACACGCCGGGGAATAGCAGTGCTCTCGCATTTCGTTTACATGTGTCTAATTTGTCCGGGCGGAGAGACAATGTGCCCTCCTCTCTCTCTCTCTCTCTCTCTCTCTCTCTCTCTCTCTCTCTCTCTCTCTCTCTCTCTCTCTCTCTCTCTCTCTCCCCCCCCTCTCTCTCCCTATCTCTCTCTCTCTCTCTCTCTCTCCAACGAGAGACTCGACTTGGATTCTCCTTCTTCCCGCCGGCTAAAAATACAAGACGCGTCTCTCTTTGAGGCTGCGAGGGGCGGGGCCTCCGTCTCTCTCGCACTCACGGGGCAGTGCCGCTCGGGTGCGAGAGAGACAGAGCGCGGGGAGGAAGTGACGGACGACGAAACAAAAAGGAGAGATTGGTCTGGTCCGCGATTGGAGGTGGCAAGGAGACACGCTGTCAATTTGTGTCGCTGACACCGACGCGACACAGTGGGCCAGAAGACCGACGGAGGCGGTCAAAATCCCCGCACGCGTTTTGAGCTCCAGCGTCGCTGAATGGGACTCGAACCGAACGTCTGACCCCACCAATGGATTGCTCTCCGAACGAGGAGTCCATTGGTGGGGTAACACGTTCGGTTCGAGTCCCATTTACCGACTCTGGAGCTCAAAACGCGTCCGTTGTTTTGGCCGCCTCCACCGGTCTTCTGGCCCACTGTGCGCGGCCGGGACCGACAAATGAGAACCGGGGCGGCACTTTATGAGGGAAACTCTTTTCGATCACGCGCCGCTGCGTCCGGAAAAGTCTCCTTGATTTTTCGCCGGACCGGTTTTTCTTTGTCCGGGCTCGATTGTCACGACGGGCAATGGAGCAGCCCCGACTCGCGAAACGAGCGCTTTGCTTTCGAGTATTCGCTAAATTGGGTTCGTTGGCCGCTGTTTTTCACATTTTTGGATTGGTTTTTGACATTTTTGCCGACGGAAAATTCATTTTTTCCCCAAAAATATGTCGTAATTTTGGTTTAGAGTATTTGTTCCATTTTTGCCATCCCTCAGATTTTTCTGTTGTTGTTGTTGTTGTTGTCGTCGTTTTTGTTGTTGTTGTTACTGTCCTTTCATTTGATTTTATTTTTCAAACAAAGCAACAACTGAATACGATAGGCACTGTTGACGTTTTGCTGCGACTCCATACAGTATACAGGCCACAGAGTCGTCCAAAAACTCTTGCCAGAGGACTCTTCAAGTGGTGACAGCCTCACAACATGACATGAACACGAGAGAGAGAGAGAGAGAGAGAGGGAGAGAGAGAAAAAAAAAAAAAACCGGGATGAAACGGAGTCGATTCATTCGGTCATCAGAGGCGGCCATTTTTCACTTTTTCCCGCTTGACTCTTGTTTACACCGGCGAGGGGGCGCCGACAGTGTAGGGCCAGATGATCCGTGTGTGTGTGTGCGTGCGTGCGTGTGTGTCCCTTTGAGGTGGCCTGGCGATGGCAATCACAGAGGTGGCCGGATGCCGCGTGGCTCCCCGGCGGGGACACGAAATCAATCAGGAAATGAGGACACAATGGCAACTGGGCGCGGGAAATTTGAAATTTTACGTCAGTTCGGAGGGAGGAACCTCGAAGGAGGGAGGAAGAGGAATGTTGCTGTCGGGCGGCTCGGGCGACCATTCGTTGACCCAGTTTCCGGAACTGTCCGTCGGTTTCCTGTTATTGGGCATGGCCCTGGGCACCTGCTGGATGGCGAAGAACGCCTTTGATTAGCGTGGACCCAGGCGGACCCAGGGCGTCGAAACAGCGAGCGGGATTGAAATGCCGACTCTCTCTCTCTCTCTCTCTCTCTCTCTCTCTCTCTCCTCTCTCTCTCTCTCTCTCTCTCTCCCTCTCTCCCTTTTATCGGCCATTTCCCGCGTGCCTCTCTCTCTCTCCCCCTTCGCGCGCCAAAAGATTTCATTTTTACGCGCCGTGTCGTCAAGACTCACGCACGCGCGTACACACACACACACACACACACACACTTACGGTGGGGTGGCGGCGGTTTGGACAAATTTTAACGCGGGCGTCGCTCCCCGCTTTACGGTGTGGGGGTCGGCCTGTCATCGCGACCGCGTGCTGCCGCCTCGCCACGCGTGCTCTGTGGCTTTATCTCTGATTATGTGCGAGTCGCTGGCGATAGATCCCCGCGCAGCTTCCCGCCTTCCAGAGGGTGAGAGAGAGAGAGAGAGAGAGAGAGAGAGGGGGGGGGGGAGTATGTTCTTTAGTCCTTTAGTCTGTTTGTATGTCTGTTCATCCGACTCGTGTCGCATCATCTTCATCAACTGTGAGGCCCCAGCAGACCTTTCTGCACTGTGGAAATTCACGGAAAAAATAAGTTTTGGCCGCCTCCACCGGTCTTCTGGCCCACTGTGCAGCCCTGTACAGGCGTGTAGGCATTGGCATGATCGGCAAGCCTCCCCCTACACTGTATAGGGCCTGCAGACGATACAGTGCCGTGGCTCGGTTCGGTCCTTTCTGGGGCCGTTTGGCGCGTTCGCCGTGTTTATGCCCTGCGGGACGTCCCCGCCGCGCCCCGCCGTTTTAGGCTCGA